TTCTACTATGAGTTAAGGAAAAATCATATAAATCATCTACTATGGCTCAATTTACCCCTTTTTCTATTTCAGTGGTTTTTTTTTTTTTTGAGACAGGGTCTCTATTCAATTCAAGATGACCTTGAACTCACTATGTAGATGAGGCTGGCTTCATTTAGTGCACTTTTTTTTTTTCCTGTAGTGGGAATCGAACTCAGGAACTTGTGCTTGCCAGGCACGTGCTTATACCGCTGAGCTATATCCCTGGTGAGGCTGGCTTCAAACTCACAGCAATCTTTCTGCCTTAGCTTCCCAAGTGCTGGGATTTCAAAGGTCACATACTACTTATAAACTACATATTTAGAGAAAACTTAATCTAGCTGTTTACAAGAAATAATTTCAGAATATACATAGACATTTGCACAGTACTCAGAAGCTCTAAAATTCTGGCTGCAAGTTGCAAAGGGAAGCACAGTGGTCTCTTCCCCTCCGGCTCAGAGCCCAGAGGAGCTGCAGTGTGGTGGGTACAGGATTTTCAGCGCTCCTCAAAAATAGATACCATCTTTTTACTTTTGCTTTCTAAGGAGGAGCTTGTCCCTGGCTTGGAAGAAGTATGATTTTTTGCCAGTTATGGCTGTATATGCCTATAATCCTAGCACTCAAGAAGCTGAGGCAGAGAATTGCTCTTATATCAGGGCCAGACTGGACTAACTAGGTAGTTCAAGGCCAGCCTGACTTACATAGCAAGACTTTATCTCAGAAAACAACAGAAAAGGCAACGTGATTCTCTGTTAAGGACTCAAGCTTTGCCACCCACACTTTAAAAACATTGATAAACAAACATGGGCCTCCCCAAGGATGAGTTCAGTAGTTGGATCTTGGCCCCTGAACTTATTGCCCCCTGGAATTTCTGATCCTTTTACTGTGACTCTCTTTAGAGCTACTGTGTGTCCAGACTCATACTTTTCCCACTGTGCAAGTGTATTTCACATTGGCCCCAGGAACTGCAAATGGTGCCATCAGGTCCCCACAGATAAAAGACGCCATTGCTCCTGTGTGACTGCAGAGGCTGCCTTGGGCCTCTGAAGGCCAGAGCACCTACTGCTGATCATGGCATCTTATGTCCTCAGCCCAGGCATGCAGGAACAGCAGTAATGGGAAATAAGGCCGTGTCATTGGAAAGGGGAATTATCAACCAGAAATAAACTGAAGGCCGAACATGAAAATATACAAAAAAGCAGTAACAACTGAGCCTTATAAATGGCAGTGACCTTTTTAAAACTATGAACATAAGGCCAGCCGAACTTGGGTCATTGTTGACAAACACATCAGGCAGAAACAAATTTAAGCTTAGATTTTCATAAGCAGTGAGCCAATAGGTGATTGTGGAGCTAAGAACTTTCCAAGCAGGTAATCAAGGAAGAGGAAAGTTTAGGCCTAACTCACTGGCTCAGCCTGTCATCCCAGCTCTCTGTAGGCTGAGGCAGGATGATCACAGCTTGAGCAAAAATTCAGGCTTAAACAAGACCCTGTCGCAAAACACAAAATAGAATTGGTCAAAAGCTCAATATGAAGTGGTGGAGGGTACATTTCCAGGAGTGAAAAGGAAGAAAAGAAGAAAGGGAGGAAGAAGGGAGAGAGAAGGGAGGAACTGCAAGGAAAAGGAGGGAAGGAAAGGGGTGGAAGGGAAAAAGGGGAGGGGAAGAGAGAGAAGGGAAGGGAAGGAAAGGAAAAATAAATAGAAGCAGACTTGAACAATTGTCTACATGAAATCGCTGATTTAGGAACAAATTCCAAGCCAAGAGAAAGTTCCTACATCTGATTCATCCTTAAGTCCAACAAAGTGAGTCCCACTCGCCTCTGACAGAAATAGAAGGTAAAGCATAAAAACCAAATGTGCGTCCACTCCTGTCTGTGAAAGCTGCAGACTCCAGTGTTCCCGAGTCAGGGACTCACCATACCCGCACCCACAGGCCCCTCCCCAGAACACTGCCCTGGAGCACGCTGGTGTCCTCACCTCCTGAACTGCTGATCCTTCCTCAAATGAACTCTTCTTTCTCATCCTGTGGGTGGAACTAGGGTTTGAACACAATGAACGGCTTCCAATTAGCTGTGTTCCAGCCTGATTATATTTGTTTTTTCTCTTTTTTGTTTTCTATTTTTAATTTGTGAAGAGATCTTGCTCAGTGCATAAGTTACTGATGCTGGGTTTGAAGTTGTGTATCTCCAGCCTCAGCCTCCTAGACATCTGGAATTAGAGGTGTGGGCCACCACAACTAGCTATTAACTTCTTCTTCAACATAAAATGACAACAAATTAAAGATCTCAATTCATTTCATTTCCATTTTCAGATCCAGTGAAACCTCATATAAATAGAGTAAATGTTTCTATAAGCCCATGAGAGGAGTTTAGTCTTTTTTTTTTTTTTTTGTCTTTTTGAAACATGGTCTCACCATGCAGTTCAGGCTGGCCTTCAGCTCACTTTGTAGCCTAAGCTGATCTAAAACTAGTAATGATCCTCTTGCCTCAGCCTCCCGAGTGTTGAGATTACAGGCATGTACTACCACACCCAGCAAGGAGTTTAGTCTTGCACATGAAGAAATGCTAAAGATGACAGGTGTGGGGGCCCGTGCCTGTAATCCCAACACTTAGGACCCTGAGACAGGATAATCAGTATGAGTTTGAGTCCACTGTGGGCTATATAGTGAGTTCAAGGCGAGACCAAAGTACATGGCAAGAGCCTACTTGAAAAAACCAAAACAAAAAAGAAATAATTTTTTAAAAGGCAAAGTCAAATAAACAAACAAAAAGTGGTGAAGAAGACATATTTGCATCTTCCAAGCTACCTTACTGGTAAGATGTTGCAGAGAGCTGAGCAATGGGACAACCCGTAAGTAGAGTTGAACCTAGGTGCCTTCTTAAACACTAAAGTGCTAAGTCTCACAAACCCAGGTTTTAGGCATGACATAAATTTTGTGTTCATTTTTGTGTTTTAATGAGTTAAAGGTATGTGAGCTTTCATGGTTCTTTTCTAAAAGCGATGGAATTTTTCCTTTAATTCAGGTGAGGGTATAGCTCAGTGTAGAGGGTAGGCATAGCGTGTGGGAGGTCCTGGGTTCCACACCCAGCACCACAAAGAAAAACTCATTGTCTCCAAGAGTAATGCAATAGAGTGGTGCTTCCTTGCTGCCACTGTGTGTGTAGATCTAGAGAGATGTGTGGATGTCTGTGTGGCTTCTTTTGTTTCTAGTGTTGATGATTGAACACAGAGTTTTTGCACTTACCTCCCTAGCCCTTCTTTTATATATGTATTTTTTGAGACAGGGTCTTGCTATGAAGTTCAGGCTGGCTTTAAACTATATAGCCCAGGCTGGTAAAGAAATTACAGTGACCCTCTTGCATCTGCATCATGAGTTCTGGGATTACAGCCATCCACCATCACACCCAGCCACTTCTGTTATTTTTAAGAGAAGGTCTTGTCTACCCACTAAATTGCCCAGATCACCCTGACTCAGCCTCCGAGAGTGCTTGGATTAGAGGTACAGGCCCTGCTCATTTGTTTTTTTTCTATTTTGCTTGGTTTTTTGGAAGTGAGGTGGTTCTTTGTCACACAGGTTAAACCCAAACTCTGGCATCTAAAGGTGCTGGGACTGTCACCTCTGTGCACAGCACCCTCATACTTTACAGTGGTTTTAACTCTGGAACAGAGTCAAAATTGGGTGCAGCCAACCATCCCATTACAGGAACCATTCCTGCCCAAGGTCAGGACAAGATTAATTCCTTTTCTGTCTCACACTCACACTTGCAGCTGCCACGTTAATAAAACTTAATCTGTGTTTTGAGTGAATTGATGCCTGAATCCTTGAGTTTCTACTATCTCCTAGTTCTTCTGTTCCTACCTAGAGCTTTGTGTAAAGCAATCAGCGAGGAGAAAGACCTGAGCCCCACCAGGATTAACTGGGTGGAGAGGGAGTGAACCAATCAGGAATCTGAGTTTGCTGGGAAAGGAGGAGGTGGGAGGGTAAAGTGTGGCTAACACAGGGGATAAAAGAGGAGAGGGGCAGAGGAGGAGATGCTCAGTCCTGGAGCTGCCAGTCACTGCTGGTCCTGCCTGGATTCCCGGAGCCCCGTCACTGTTGCCTAAGTCTGCACCTGGTGAGTCCCTGGGCTCCACAAGGATGAGGATGCCCCACCTCCCCACTGTCAGCCAGTGTCCTGTAGGCACAGAGTTTGCAGATGGCACTGTGGATTCTATGACATCTGTCTCGTAGGTTTGAGATTTCTCGGGTATTATGTATTTTTTTTGACCCATGGTCTTGCTATGTTGCCCAGCTGGATTTTGCCTCACTATGTAGACAAGGCTGGTTTTGAACTCCAGATTCTCCTGCCTCAGCCTTCCTACCATTGGTAGTACTCCACCATGGTAATAAGCCAAGGTTAGATTTTTGTTTTGATTCTTTTTTTTAAAAAATTTTTTTGGTTTTTTGGTTTTTTTCCAGTACTGGGAATCAAACTCACGACCTTGTACTTGCCAGGCAGGCGCTGTGCTGCTGAGCTAAATCCCCAGCCCCGATTCTTTTTTATTTTAAAAATTTAAAAACTGACAAAGCAACAATGAAGACAAAATCAAAACAGCACAAAAAAAATGATACATGACCTCAAAAGGACAGAAATTTACACTGGTTGCTGTATTTTGTTTTGATTCTAAATGTGCAAATTTGCCTTCACTCCTTATATCTGGTTTTGTGCATTGCTTTATGTCATTTCATAACTTTTTTTGCGACATCTCACTATGTAATTCAGGCTGTCTTGAACTCATCGTATAGATCAGCTGGTTTTAAACTCTCAGTGATTCTCCTGCCCAGCACTCCCAGTTCTGGGATTACAGTCATAGGACACCACACCCGGCTTTGTTGTTTCATATACACTGGGCGTGGTGGCCCACCCCTGTAATCCCAGCACTCAGAAGGCTGAAGCAGGAGGATCATTGTGACTTCAAGACCAGCCTGGGATACAAAGTGTGCTCAAGGCCAGCCTGAACTGCACGGCGAGACCCTGTCTCAAAAAGTCAAAAAAGACAGAAAAAAGGAAGCTCAGGTTCTTCTTTCCATACAAAAGCTGCCTCTTCAGAGCTCAGCAGAGGCTCCCCTATCAGTCTTCTGAATTACACCTGATGATGAAGCAGGTAAATAGGAGCAGCATGGGCACCTTGGATTTAACTGGGTTAAATAGTAGAACATGTTTATCTTGTTTTTCTCCTGAGGGTGGGAGCCAGTGCCTTCATACTGAGCTCTACACTCAGCCATTTTTATTTTCTATTTTGAGACAAGGTCTCACTAAGTGGTCTTCATTGGTCTACAAGTTTGAAGCCTCCTGCCTCAGCTTTCCAAAATTCTGGGATTATAGGAGTGAATCACCAAACCTGAAATCTTTATTGATTGATTGACTTGACCCTGATTTTCACTATGCATTTTAGGCTTGCCTTGAGTACACTGTGTCCCCTGCTTGTCTTAAAATTCCTCCTGCTCATTTTCTCCAGGGCTGTATTTACAGCTTGCCCCACTACTCAAGACTCCTCTGTTAGTGTTGTTTGTTTATTTATATTTTTATTTATTTATTTGTGGTCTTCTTTTCTTTAATTTTAAATACGATGAAACAAAAAAGTACTAAAAAATTCACAATTTTAAAGCAAGATAATAGCTGATGAAGAGATAATATATTGCATATTGTTATCTTTGAATAAGTTGTTCAGATTATGAGATATAGGCATACATAACAAGACAAAAATATAAAGGCAAACCATTTTTTTCAATTAACTAAAAGCAGTCAGTAGTGTAATTATCTTTGCTATCATACATATATGTATATATGTTTGTTTGTTTATTTATATACTTTTCCCTTCCTGTATCATTTCACCAATTCCAGTTCTTTCTTTTTGAGCAGTTTCTTTTCCTGTCACAATATCCATTGCAGATTTTGGGTCTTCTTTAGCTTTTCACTTTTTTACACTAAGGATATAATATGATGTTTACATATGCAACTTTAATTTATTTCACCTATGAGTACAGTTTCTAGTTGCATCCATTTACTTATGACAGCCTCAAGTTTGTCCTTCTTTATAGTTGAGAAGTACTCCATTATAGAAAAATACCACATCTTTGTTACCCACTTTCCTTGGTAGATGGGCATTTGAGTTGTTTCAAAGTTTTAGCTAGGAGAAATTGTGCTGCTATAAACATGGGTGCACATATATCACTCTACTATGATATGTTTATTTTTTATGATATGCTTAATTCTTCTTGGAAAATACCTAGAGCGAGGATACTCAGACTGAATAGGACCACTATTCTTAGGCTTTTGAAGATTCCAACAGATTTCCACAGTGGTTGTACGCCTGCATTCCCACCAACAGTGAAGCAGTGTTCCTTTTTCTCCACAGCTATGCCAATATTTGTTATTGGTTGATTTCTTGATGATAGCCATTCTTTCTGGAGGGAGACAGAATCTCTGTTTGCTTTATTTTTTTATTTTTTTGTTTTTTTCTTGGTTTTTCTCTAGTACCGGGAACCGAACTCACGACCTTGCGCTTGCCAGGCAGGCACTTTTGCCGCTGAGCTAAATCCCCAGCCCTCTGTTTGCTTTAATTTGCCTTTCTCCAGTGACCAAAGATGTTGAACATTTTTCATATATTTATTTGCCATTTACATTTCTTCATCTGAGAAGTGTGTATTCACCTCAGATGCCCATTTTTGGATTGGGTCTTTGAATTTAGAAGGACCTGATTTTTTTCAATTCTTTGTATGTTCCAGATAGCAGCTCTGTTGATTTCTTTTGATGTGCAAAAACTTTTTAATACGGTGAGATCCCAGTTGTTCATTCTTTGAAGTACTGCCCATGCAGTTTTGTTTTTGTTCATGAACTCAATGGCTACGTCTATGTCTTCAACAATTCTACCTACTTTCTCATCCAGTAGATTTAGTGTTGCTGTTGTAATATTTAGATATTTGATCCTTTTAGATTTTAGTTTAGTGCATGGTGATAGACTTGGGTCTAGTTTTAGTCTTCGGCATGTGGAAAGCAAACTTTTCAGCACCATTTATTAAAGAGGCTGTCTTTCTTCCTGTGAAAATATTTGGTCCCTTTGTCAAAGATAAGGTGACTAACTGTGTTTGTAGTTGTATCTACATCTTCTAATCTGTTCCACTGTTCCTCAGGTCTGTATGTTTTGGCAGATTACATGCTGATTTTATCACAGTAGTTTGGTACAATAGTTTCAAGTTAGGGATTGTGATGCTTCCTGCCTTGCCTTTGTTGCTCAGGATTGCCTTTGCTATTTGAGATTGCTTCTATTTCCAAATGAACTTTATGAATGTTTTCTCTATATCTGTGAGGTCTGCTAATGGTATTTTGATTGGGATTGCATTAAATCTGTATAACAGTTTGGGGAGTATGGCCATTTTCACAATGTTGGTTCTTCCTGTCCCTGGGCAAGGGCTATCTTTTCATTTTCTGATATCCCCTGTGATCTTTTACAGAGTGCTGTAATTTTAAATGTATGGAACTTCTATTTCCTTTCTTAGATCAGTTCCTAGGTATTTCATATTTTGGATCTATTGTGAAATGTGGGTTTCCCTAATATCTCTCTCAGTGAGTTTAGTGTTTGTATACAGGAGTACTACTAATTTGTGAATGTTGCCTTGTATCCTGCTAAGCTACAGAATGTCTTTATTAAAACTAGAATTCTTTTGGTGGAGTTTCAGGAGTCCTCTATCTAGAGTACCACATCATCTGCAAAGAATGATAGTTTACCTTCTTCCTTACCTACCTTCATTCCTTTTATTTCTCTTATCTAATTGCTAGGGTGAATTTTTCCAGAACTTTATTGAATAGGAGTGGTGACAGTGGATATCCGTGTCTTGTTTCTGATTTTAGAGGGGAAAGCCTTCAATTTTTGTCCATTTAGTAAGATGTTGCTTCTTGGTTTGCCATAGATGGTTTTTATTAAATTGAGGTAAAGATGATCTATTCCGATTTTCTGTATGGCTTTTATCATGAATAATTGCTTGATGTTATCAACTCTTTTTCTGCATCAATTAAAATTATCATGTACTTTTTGCATTTAGTTTTCCTGAAGTGGTGTATTACATTTACGGATTTGTGTATGTTGAACCATCCTTGCATTACTAGGATGAATCCCACTTGGTCATGGATGATTTGCTCTGTTCTGTTTGCTAGTATTTTATTGAGGATGCTTGCATCTATGTGCATGAGGAGATTGGCCTGTAGTTCTCTCTTTTAGTTGGGTTTTAGTTTCTCTGGTTTTGGTAGCAGAGTAATATGTGCCCCTAGGAATGAGTTAGGGACAATTGCTTCACTTTGAACTTCATTAAAGTCTGAGGAGTATTGGCATTAAATCTTCACTAAATTTCTTATACAATTCAGCCATCAATCAATCAGGACCTGGGATTTTCTTTGTTGGTATGTTTTTAATTACATTTTCAATCTCATTAACTGATATTGGATTATTTAGAATTTTTATATCTTCTTGATCCAGCTTTGATAATTCATATTTCTAGGAATCTATCCATTTCTTCAGTGTTTTCTATACTATGCAAATAAAGGTTTTTGAAGGAGGTATTTAACATCTTCTGAATTTCCATAGAATCTGTAGTGATTTCAAACTTTTCAGTTTTTATTGCATGGATTTGAGCTTTTTCTTTCCTTTTTGATAAGACTGACTAGGAGTTTACCAATTTTATTTATTCATTCAAAGAAGAAACTCTTTGATTCATTAATTTTTTGTATTGTTTACTTGGTCTCAACTGTGTTAATTTGTGCTCAGATCTTTTCTTTTTTTGCTCTGATCTTTATAATTTCCTCCATTGTATGGGCTTTGGACTTGACTTGCTATTTTTTTTCTCTAGAAGCTTGAGGTGCAGCATTAGACTGTTTATTTGTGCTCATTCTGTTCTCTTGATGTGAGAATTGACTGCTATAAAAATCCCTCTTAGGACTGCTTTCATTGTGTCCCACAGGATCCAGTAAGTTGTGTTTGCATTTTCATTTAATTATAGATATTGTTTAATTTTTCTTTAATTTCATCTGTTACTCATTGGTTGTTCACGATGGTGGTATTTAATTTCATTGTGTTTATGGAATTTTTGCAGTTTCCTTTACCATTCATTTCCAATTTTACTGCACTATGGTCAGATAACATACACAGGATAATTTCAATACCTTTGCATTTACTTAAGCATGGTCTATGGGCTAGTATATGGTTTATTTTGGAGAACATCCTGTGTGCAGTTGAGAAGAATGTTTATTTTGATGCTGTTGGGTGGAATACTCTGTAAAAACTACTTAGTTTATGGAGATGTACACATCTACTAAGCCCATTTGTTCACAGCCCATTTGATTCAGTTGTGGATTTCTTTACTGATTTTTTGTCTTGTTGATCTATCTCTTTGTGGCAATGGGCTATTAAGTTTTCCCATTACAAGTGCATTAGTTGGGTGCTCCTATATTTGGTGCATACATATTTATAATTGTTGTCTCTCCTCTTGAAGTTTTTCCCTAACCAGTATGTAGTGACCTTCTTTATCTCATTTGGTCTTTGGTTTGAAATCAATATTGTCTGCCAGCAGAATCAGTACCCCTGCTTTTTCTGCATTGTTGTTGCATTGAAGATTATTTTCCATCCTTTGATTTTCAGTCTATCAATTTCCTTTGAGTTAAATATGTTTCATGAATACAGCATATTGCTGGATCTTGTTTCTTGACTCATTCCGCAATTATGTTTCTTTTGATTGGTGATTCAGGCCATGTACATTGATGGATATAAATAATATGTATTGTCTTATCCTTGTCATGACAGTTTCCTGCTGTTGGTTCCCTACTTTTCCCCTCTATTTAAGTGCTTGACCTGCCTGGTAGTCTCTTTTTGTTGTTGTACTTGGAAGTGTGGCCATTGTTTATCTGTTTCTACAAAATCTTTCAGTAGTCTTTGTAGGGTTGGTTTGGTGGTCATGAATTTTTTCAGTTGTTCTTTCTCATGGAAGTTTCTTATTTCTCAATGAACTTGGAAAGATAGTTTGGCAGGGAACATTAATTTGGGTTAGAAGTTGTTTTCTTTGATGACTTGAAATACTTCATTCCTATCTTTCCTTGACTTACGGGTTTGTGTTGCAAAGCCTACCATGATTCTGATGGGCTTTCCTATATAGGTGATCTGTTTCTTTTCTCTAACAGGTTTTAATATTCTGTGCTGGTGCTGAAATTCAGGGACCTGATTATTATATGTGGGAGTGTAGCTTTATTTTGGTTATCACTATTTGGAGTTCTATATCCTTCACTAATCTATATGTCAGCGTTTTTTCCAAGGCTTGGGAAATTTTCTGCTATTACTTCTGCAAGTTGGTTTTTTAATATTATATGTGTTGACTTCTGTTTTTTCACTGACATAAATTATATTATTATTATTTGCATTGTCTTGCAGCTGTTGAATTGTTATTTCCTGACCTTTTGTTCTTTTCAAGAGATGTGTCCTTTCATGATCACTAGCTATGATCTTGTCTTCAAGGTCTGAAAACCTGTCATCACTTTCATTCAAGGAGTTTCACCAGCTTTCAATGGAATTTTTAATTTTCCAGGTGGCTTTTTTCTTTTCTTTTCTTTTCTTTTTTGAGACAGGGTCTTCCCAGGAAGTTCAGGCTGGCCTTGAACTCACTTTGTAGCCAAGGTTGGCCTCAAATTCACAATTCTCCTGCCTCAGCCTCCTGAATCCTAGTATTACGGGTATGTGTCACCACATTGGGCTCCTGGGTGGCTTTTTAAACTGTTACCTCCAATCTATTTATTTCCTATATTGATCATTCACAGTTGCCATCCTCTTCCTATGACATAATTTTTAAATCTATCTGTACATCAGATTTGCTGAACATTTCCTTTATAAATGTTGAACTCTCTTTTTATAAGTGAAAGATTATTTTTCATTTGATTTCCTCTATAGTCTCATGGATTGGTTTCTTGACTTCAGTTGCTATCATTTCAGAAATGTCAAGTGGGTGTCTTCCATTTTCCTCTATCTTTTCTTCTGGTTTCATGCTTGGTGTCCTGGAGTGCTGTGATTGTATTTTTCTTTTTCATCTTGTTATTTTTCACTATGTACCCCATGCTGGCCTCATCCTCTTACCTCATGCTCCTGATTGCTGGGATTACAAGCATGTGCCAGCTTATTTGGCTCTAACAGTATTTGAATAACAGCCCTGGGTGGTTGTGCCAACATAGAACTCTTGACTAGAATGCCAGAGGCTCTAGTTTTAAACTTATCACAGCAAATATGTTTGTATTTTCTTTCAGTATCAAGCACTGAAGGCAGGAGCGCTGTATGACAGAGCTGGCATCCTCCACACCACTCTGTTTGCTGCTTTGTTTTGAGACAGGGTGTCCTAATTTAACTGGGCTGGCTTTGAACTCTCCATGCTTCTTGGTCAGTGCACCAAGGGCTGGCACTAGAAGCCTGTATGACATCATCCAGCTAGAAGTGTCTTTCTTCCCTCTCTCTCTCCCTCCCTTTTTCCTTCTCTCCCTCTGCCTTCTATCCTGTTCTCCCTTTCTCCTTCTCTAACTCCTTCCTCACTCTCTACTTCCCCCCATCCACTCTTTAAGGGTAGTTTAGCATACCCAGGTAGCACACAAATTTAATTCTGGCACTCAGCAGGCTGAAGCAGCAAGATAAGTATGAGTCTGAGGCCAACTTGGGCTACATAGTGAATTCTAGTCTGCTCTAAATTACATGATGAGACCATGTATAAAAAAGTTTTAAAAAAAGGAGAAAAAAATGATAGGACTAGGTTGATGGTTTGTGATTTTAGATAAGGTCCTTACCTCTCAATGCTTGGCCTTAGTTCAATCCCCATCAACATAAGGATTAAAAACAAAGTCGTGCATGGTGGTGCACACCTGTAATCCCAGCATGGGAGAAGTGAGGCAGGAAGACCACTCTGAATGTGAGTCCACCATGGGGCACATAAGTTCAAGCGAAATTTGAACTATGTATCATGACTGTCTCTAACTAAAAATAAATAAGTAAGGAAAATTTAAAATGGAGCTGAATCAAATTCCATATAGGGTTATCCATTCCTCAGTTGTCACTTGGGAGGCTGTAGCAGGAGAACTGCAAAGTCTACAATGGCTTAGAAGACCATCAGGACCTGACTCAAAATGAAAAATTCAAAAAAAGAAAAGAAACAAGAACTAAAGCTGTGACTGAGCAAAAAGCCATGTTCAACGCATAGTACTGCACACAAAATTTTTAAAAAGCATCTACATATATTTTACACTAGGGCTTTACTTTTTTGTTTTGTCAAGTGTGGCTTTTGCTGGAGGTGTTGTTT